TTAAAAATTTCCTCGCTATATTCCATAATACGGGATAAGTAACCGAACGGATATGTTGTTTTGCAGCCATAATTGCTGATATCCGTTTTTAAACTGAAACTTAAGTTATTCGTTTGTACTTAGTTCAGTCAGTTCCTCTTGTATTATGACATTCGTTTCTTCTATGTCACCATATGGGTTAATTATCCACGGTGGTATTATCATAGTCAAAACGTCGTCAAACCTAGTTTCTAAATCTGAATAGAGGGCATTTAAATGTTGAACGTAGGTTGTTGAAACGTCGTCTTCCTGGCAGTTTGTCTGTGACAAATTGGGGAACTGGGAAAATTAGCCCCGTCCAATAATTTGTTTCATTAGTTTATCACTGGCAAGAAACGCTGATAAGATGGACTTTGTTATAATCAAATTATTATTTTTATCTTTAGTATCCGGAAATTCTACAATAGTCTCAAAAAGTGCAAAAAAAATCTTGTCAAACATAAAGCTTTTGACGGCCAGCGTACTTCAGAGTGAAGGAGTAATTGATGAAAGTATTCAATGCGTTGCTTCGGATTCGGTTTACTGCATCAATGACTAATTGAAGAGATTCCTACAATCTAACACTCAAATTTATATAATTTGTATAAGTATTTATATTATAAAATAGTACAATAGACCCCCATTTTCATTTCATGGACCCCCAAATTTGTTTTTCGCTGACGTAGACCCCTTGCAGTTTGTCATAGACCCCTGGGGGTCGATATAGACCACTTTGGGAATCACTGATCTACTGTATGGCCTATCAAGATTCGTCCTTTGACATACCAACCAAATATCCAGGACAATTCCTAGAAAATTATAATAATGCCTCACAGAAATTGTACTGCTACTTGCTTTAAATATAATAAAGTAAACTTTCAGTTCAAAATCGAACATTTCTAATATCTTTGACACAAATCACCTGAAAATTTTAGACAATTATAAAGTAAAATTGAGTCCTTTGTCAATCTGTATCTGCAAAATAAAACAA